TAGGGAGGGATTTCCGACCAAATTACTATCAAAGACAAATTCAGATGAAACTCAAGCGTAGATTTCGAAAATGCGGCAGAAAGGGTAGAAAATGCTTGGAACTTTGCAGGGTAATTACACGGATAATTTGTTGCAGATTATTTGATAGATTGCGACATCCTAGTAGTAGTAACTCCGTCACGGTTAAGCTTAATAGGGGCACCGAATAGTACTCAGCTAAATTTATGCAGGCCACCTCGTGAAGATCTAGAAATTCCAGTGGCTCAGTCAAACTGTTATACAGCTTCACAGGGTTTACAAGTCTGACCAGAGTGCGACCCGATAGTCGGCATGAGCCAGAAAGGAACTAGCGATAGCGCTAAATAACTCCTATGAGCCGAGCAGCGCCAACATCAGAAAAATTACTGCTTCCTTCTGCACTCTTTGCTCCCATGATTGCAGTCATTTTCACCAGTTCCTATAGCCTCTTATTTCCACCAATCTTCTAGGTAGTGCGAGAAATTCGTTTTCGAGTGGAGCAAGCAACGGGTCTAACCTGCAGTGCAGGTGAGTGGAATTCCCATTTCTTCTGCTTTTTCTTTTTTCGTCAATAGTCAATCACTCACGTTATTATCCTTCGTTCGCTTTTTCTCCGACCAGGGAAGATGAGTGGATGTGGGCCAAGAGATCCGTATTGCGGTGGCGTCGCAATGCGTCTGACATACTTTCTACGCGTTGCAGCAACTTTGATGTTCTGATGCGCACTCAATTGATGCCGTTTCTGTAGTTTCGCTGTTCATTAGTCAGTTTTAGGTATCGCCCCAACCTTCAGACTGGCGAAAATTTGCTCTGATATGAACAAACCAAATGGCCAGTATGAATTAGAAAACAGCTACGAAAAAGTCATGGATTTCCTCCGCGAACTACCGATTCGTAAGGTATATTCCATATTTTAGTGATTTTTACTTTTCAGAAACGTTTATGCCGCTTGGTTGGACCAAGTAGTAATGATCAAAATCTTGCAGGTCTCAGGAATCGGACGAGTATCTGAGGCTCTGCTACAAGCATGTGGTATTTTTACGGTTGGGCAACTGCTAGAGAGACGTGCCGCACTGAAGTTTTGCTTCTCGGAGCTTTCTCAGGTAGGTTATACTGTGAATTTTGGCAGTGGAAATAGGGAAATTCCAAGGTCTAAGCGTAGAGGTTGGCCTATATTATGGAACGCAGCAGAGATTTGAAGCCGGTGGTAGAAGAAATTATTTTCGAAAATTACCGTTCGAACAGGGTTCAGAGTCATTAAGACGAGAGATGAAGGTGCAGTCATGATAACTGAGCAAGAAAATTCCCGAGCAAGGAAAAAAGGAGGTGCTGACTATGTTGGTGGAGAGGGAGAAGCTTTGGGCCTTCCGCGTCGGTGCGCTCCTAATCCCAAGAATGTTAAAAAGCACTTCGATGAAGAAAGCACCAGGATTGACCGCCTTCACCCGTAGGATCAGTGAGTGGCAGCAGTCGCGAAGTCTGTCCTGGCTTGTTCCGATATTTTATCTCTCGGAAGAATGAAGCGACCGCTCACTCTTCCCAGATCTGGCAATGTTTCCATATCCCTGTTACTAATAGTAAGAATTCTCCTGCTAGTTCAAACGTGGCCTCGGTAGCGTAATAGGGAACGCAACTGCCCGGTAAGCAGAAGATGCGGGTTCGAATCCCGTCCGTGGTCCGACTTTTGCCCATAACTCAGCATTCTTGTGATAGCTTTCGGATCGCGTACTGCGGCGTTAAACAGCAGTTATCAAACAATAACATCTCCTGCTAGTCTTTTCAGTGGATTGAAATGTGTATGTCAGAATGACAGCTATTTATTTATAGGAGTGTTTCCTGCGTGTTGCTCTTGGTCTTCCCGGTCGTCCATCATCGTCTGATCCACGCAGAAAGAGTATTTCCACCGAGAGGACCTTTACACCGACGTCGAGTCGCGAAGCACTGACGGAAATAATGGAAGATGTTTGTGACATGCTTGTTAAAGATACAAAACGTGCAGGAATTGTCGGTGAGATCTTATTATTTGTTCCAGCCGGTGGGATAGCTAGAGTTTATTGAGTGGCCCAAGTGAGCAACAAGTAGTAGTAAGACTAGGTATCGGCTGGAATACGCTAAAAGGAAATGGTACTGTGGTTTAATCCAGAGAACCTTCAGTCGCCTCATCTTTCTTCTTTTTCAGATTGTTTTATACTGATTTGATTTTTGATTTCTAATTTTCCACGTTCAAAATGAGAGGGAGGGGGTCATGAAATCATGTAGTTGCTTACATGTTGGCCGCGCTTTGTGCTCACGCTGCTGACCAGTATTCATCTAGTTGAAGAGAATTTGGTAATGAAGGAAAGGTATCACTAAGTAATATAGGTATTCAGGTGGTCGATGCGTCACTCTGAAACTGAAACTGTCTTCATTTGATGTCCTGACACGTTCTGAGACGCCGGGGCGGCTTATATGTAGCCGCGAAGGTTAGTGTTATTGCTTCATTTAACTTCCTTCCGTTTTCTCTCGGGTTTCTTCCGCTTAGTTTTCTTTTTCACGGCGTGACCTGCTTCTTTCTGAATGGTAGGATCCTTCCTGGCTAGCTTATCTCTGGGGCCATTTTCTTGATGTAATTCGCTCTTCAGGAAAACTCCAAAATTCTCCACTTTTTGTAGTCGCACTTCCTCACTTTTTGTAGTCGCACTTCAAGTTTTTGTGGAAAAGCGTGAAAGTTTCAGAGATTCTTGCGATAACACGTGAAATCCTAGACCGAGAACTACCAAATGAGTTCCGTCTACTTGGAATACGTTTGAGTCATTTACAGTTTGAAGATGACCGGCCTCCAGGAGCGCCAATTTCGGTGAGTTCTCCCTTACTGCTTGGCTAAGTAGGCAATTGCTCCATATTTCACGAGTGACGCTGGGGACGGTTAGTAGTTGGGCAAGTTTGGGAGGTCCGTGGTGCAGCGACGCCTCTATGCGAATGGGGCACGTCTGTGGTGTTTACATTCACTAGAACCCAATTGGTTTGAGCATGGAATTTATACAGTATTTCGAGTCAACTAGCTAGAAAAGACTAGCTAGTTTGTACGCTCCATCCAGTATGAATCTCACAAACCATACCTTTAACGATCTTGCTGGTAGAGGGCTACAAAACAGTTCCCTCTGCATATATTCAGATATTTTGGTGCATTTCGGCTTGGTAGGAGCACAGAATGGTACCAATGAAGCTTGTACAGGCAGCCCTGTTGCGAAAGTGCTTATCTGTACCATTTTAGAACTTCACTAGAGTTCACTGGTGATACCAAAGTGAGACCTGTTATCCAACATGAACTAACAAAAGGAACTAGCGAAAGTGCAAAATGTCCCCACCAAGCCGAACAGCGCCATTTTTCCTAAAGATGATAGATGCTCAGGAGTTTGGGCTCCTAACACCTCCCTCTATCCTCTAGTAGGAGAGCACAGACGGTCTCATGAGCCCAGCATTGCTCGTTGTTCTGCTACGTCCCGTCTTTACGATCTGAACCCCAAAATCGCAGAGCTTTATCCAACATAACTCGGACACCATGCCTGTCACGCTGTACAGGCACTTCACATCTCTGAGGCGCACAAGCAGTGTGTACTTCATTTGAACATGACGTAGGAAGCTTTTTTCACGGGATATTCTACCTGAGACAATTGTCATCTTGTCTGGTATTGGACAAAGTCGTGGTTACAAATGTCCTGAAATCAAAGCATCTCACTAAGGTACAGCTTTCGAAAAGTGCGTAGGTCACTCAACATAGCAGCTCAGGGATTTGGAGTTCAGATGAAAAGGTGCCGCCGTCATAAGGTG